TCGAAAGCAAGGGTTGGATGAGGACAACAGAAAGATGTAAGGTGAAGGGCTGTCCCCACTGAAAATGTGCTTTAGGGGAAGCCAAGGGGAAGAAAAGGCCATCAGAGTTAGGGCTGAGAGTCCCAGGGGAATGTGACAGAAAGCCAATGTTGAAGCAGAAAAGAAGAAAAGATGACAGAGGAGTGATGAGGATGAGAAGAGAGTTGCATGGGCAGCTGGTAGGTGACTTCTGCTACATGTTCCTTCCTGTCGGTCCCCATGTACCTGGCTACATCACTTGACTTGAGCTTTGCAGGCACACATCACTGGAGAAGGAGGTCCCATGAGCCTCTCTGTCCACTAGAAGTCTGTCCAGCAAACCATGGCAGCAGAAGAGGTTCTTAGGGGAAGCACAGAGATACTTCAGGAGCTCTGAAGGTAAAGGCACAGCCTTTCCACTCTGCCTTCAGGGAGAAAATGGTCCCTGCTCCCTTCAGGGTGAAGCTTGCTCTGTGAGAGATGATTTACCTTCTCCCAGGAACCATGGTTGGTGACAGGAGGGCCATTGGAACCTTGTAACCATCCTCTTCTGCAGCAAGTCCCAAGAGAAGCTTCCCCAAGGAGATATCACCTTATGGGATCTTGAAGATGAGGGGGAAGTTACAGATCCAAGAAGAATCATAAATATCAACTCCTCCTTTGCTTTCAGTGACACTGCAACTCCTGCCTAAGATCACCAACCCCCCAAACCCAGCACTGTAGTCTATCAAACTCTTGTTCAGACTCCTCTAGGACAAATCTCAGAATCAGAAGGCCCACATTTAGCCAAGTCTGGCTAAATTTTCCAGGAACAAAGGGCTCTCTTAGGACAAAGCAGACTGGATTTTGCAAGTGGGTAAAGTCCTGGGGTTTACGCAAATCGTGTTTGTAACCAGAGTGTGTATTCTGGGAACTTAGAATGGGAAATTTCAGGCCTAAATGGAGTCAGTCTTGCTAACCATATCTCCATATTTCCTGCCCCTGAGAGCTCTTTAATAGCCCCAGTAATCTTGTACAGGATGTTTCTCCTCCCACTGGGCCAACAATAAACTTGCTATTGAGTAAAAGTCTTCTAATTCTACATTTTCTCCTCTGTACTGCTGCCTCTCAGGGAGAACTTCTACTCCTATAGAGTTGGATCACAGTCACTTCCCTCCCTAACCCAGGTCTTCTAATGAAAGGATCAGAACATACCAGGATTCTCTCCTCCCGGACCCTGCTCTTCAGAAGTCTGTCTTCTAAATCTCACATTAGAGTTAATATAAATAATGTATTGGACAAGCCACCAACTTTTCAGAAAGATGGCAAAAGTTTATGACAAAATTTAAAAGCATGGTTCAGATATTCAGTTTTTGGGATACTTTAACATGTGTCCACACCAACTCCATATGTATATACTTTCTGGCGTTATTTAGGGGCTATGTTTCTAAATCCATTTTGGAACCTGTTTTTGTTTGTTTGTTATTTTGTGCTGGGGTGGGAATGTTAGGAACTTCCCTTTTACGGTTAAACATTTCTTTATTCTTCATTAAAACAGCTGTAGAACTATAACCTCTGGAAAGGTAACCCTTCCCTTAGAAAACATGTGTCCTTTGATTTTGCTCAGGCTACTCTCTCACTTCCTGTGGTTCTTTTCTTTCACAACTTTATTCCTTGTTTTACGTTATTGAGGAATATGGTTATGAATGGTTGAGTCTAAAGAAGCACTTCGGCTGCTGACCATCTTGAGGGCCTTGGGCAAGTCACTGCATCTTTTGAGCTAGGTCTGGATCTACCAAGTAGGAACTTATAAGATGGGCCCAGAAGCTAACAACAAATAAATAAAAACTTTGCTAAAGGAAAAGATGGGAATATTAATCTTGCATATGGCCCAGGGTCTTTTCTCAGTGTTAAGGTCCCTAGTGGGTCTGTCTACACAGGCCAGTAAAGCTTTATACCTCCACCCAGGGTGGAACACAACAAAATGTGGGAAATGGATTAGCAGAAGGAATTTTGTACTTTCTAGAGGGTGGGCATTGGGAGGTTCTAGCTTTTGGCTCGATGACAGCACTGATAGAAGACATGGCTAGGCCTCTAGTGTAGTTAGCAGTGGAGGGATCTACTGCTTGAAGTCTGGTGATCTGAGGCCTTGAGATAGTCCAATTTTTCCTATATGTCTTCAAGGACAGGCTCATACACTTCCCCTGACAATTCAGCTTGTTACAGCAAAAGAATACACTGAAAACTTTTTTGTATATCAGTGTTTTATTATACAGGCTAGACAGTCTCTGTGGCTTAGTCATCTCTGTAAAGAATACTAAAATTGAATGTGTGGGCACACACAGCACTGGTTCAGCTCCAAAGACTCCCTGAGACCTTACTAAAAGTTGCACCTGGACTCTACACAGCCTACCTGGCCGCTGTCTATGAAACTTTCGAGAAAATGATAATGCCTGGTATTTCAAGTGTTTGAACTGACAAGACACCACACCTTTTGAAGCCTGCTTTGGGTGAGACCATCAGTAATTAAGATGGTGCTGGCCATCCTGACTACTGACAGGTTCTCCTTTCCGGCAGTCTCTCCTTTCCAGCAGTTTGACCGCAGATTTGACTGGACATTGAGTTGTATGTTTTTCCCACCAGATAGGTGCTCCTGGGCGTTTATACGAGCTTCTCTGTGCTCCAGTTCCTCTTCTGCATTTCAGTGTTCCTTGGGTACCTTCTTGAGGTTAGACACTGGATATCAGCTGGAGGACGAACATGAGAACAGGACCAAAATTTCAGGGACAGGGATCTGGTGCTTTGACAGCTAAAAGTTTGATTCAGGTTACTCATCCTTAAAACCAGCTCATATAATAATATCCACTCCCCAGTAAGTGTTGGGAAGCCTAATTACCCCTTGTGAAATGTTTTCAAGTCCTCAGAAGAAAGGTGATACATCACAGCAAAGTATGATTCTCATTTTCACAATTGTGATCTTCACAAGCTTCCCTCAGGGCTAACTAGTATAAAACTGCCATTTATGAAACTCTGCTACTGTAACAAAGTACAGCTATTATCCCTAATGAAATCATATTTAAGGTACTGCTGTGCTGGTGAAAATCTGAAATCCACTGTAAGTGAAGAAAGAAGAGCAGGTCACTCGCTGTGAGGTTGACCTGCTCTTGAATTCCAAAATCAAAAACAATCCTTAGGAAGTTGACAGTTCAAAGAGTATAAGCTAAAAACCAAAACAAAACAAAAAAAGAGTATCAGCTAGCAAGTGTTTGAGTACCTGGTGTATATCAGGAAACATGGTATGCATGCTCTCATTAAATCTTGCTGACAAGCTGGGGAAGTAGGTTTATCATGTCTACTTTGTAGAAAGCTGAGGCTCAAAGGTGTTGACTTGTCTGAGTAAGGTGAACCTGGCACTTCTAAGCAGGATGGCCAGAAGCTGAGGAAGAGGCCAAGTCAGAGATGACCACAAAGTCTACACCGTCCTTACAGAGGCTGAATTAGGTGAAAAAAGTGATAATACCAAAAAAAAAATAGGATTTTCTGGTTTGGCTATTCCCTTAAATAGGCCACTTGCCAACAAAGAGGAAACCCAAGGGGGGAAGCTGATGGGAGGGAGATGATTTTGGTGCCTAGTAACTTCAATTTGAGATGGCCAGCTTATCTTGACATGCTGGCCTGGGCCTTGGAAGTGAAGATGATATGCAAACTATGGGATCCTGGTGACAGACCTGACAGGTGGCACCTGCGATGAGATGAGATCGCCACAGTACAACTTCTCATTCGTTGCCAGTACGTACCACCCCTCGGCTTTCACTCCAAGCAATCTCCACAGAGCAGTCCGAGCCAAGATGACAAGTGTTTCCGAAGTACTCACCGCCGGACTTCTGGGTGATTCACTCCCTTCTCTCAGGCCTTTACCCAGTCAGCGTCTCGCGCGGTCTCCACCCGCTTCCTTGACGCCCCCTCTCCTTGTCCGGATCTACCCGCTTTCTGCTCAGCGGGTTGTGCGGGAACTAAGGTCCTGGGCTACCCTGGCGGCGACTCGGGCGGGGCTCAGGCGCATGCGCGGCCAACGGTGTACGGAAGCCTGGAAGGGTGGGGGGGGAGCAGTGGCTCAGGTTTCTCAGGGCGGCGGCGGCGGCGGCGGCGGCGGCGGCGGCGGCGGCGGGGACGCGGCTGGCGCTGACACCATGAACCCGCTGTAACGCGCAGGCTGCGCGGTGCGGGGGAAGTGGGGAGGAGGAGGACACGGCGGTGAAGTTCTTCGCCATGAACCTGAGGGGCCTTTTCCAGGACTTCAATCCGAGGTGGGTACGCGCCAGGGTTTGGCCCCGGGCTTCGCTCGGGCTCCGGGAGGCGCGGTGGCCGTGAGGCTGCAGCTGGAGCACCCGGGCGCTTGCCGCGCCTTCTTGCGGGTGCGAGCGGCTTTCAGGAAGGCAGTCGGCCTCGGCGCTGGTTCGCCCGCTTCCTCCTCCCGGGCCAACTAGTACCGCCCGGCCCCGGCTCCGGCCCGGGCCCGGGCCCGGGCCCGGGCCCGGGCCGAGCCCTGCCCTCCCTGAGGCAGCCAGTCCCCTCCGCTTGCCCTCCTCGAGCGCCAGCTCCAACTTCCCTGTCGGTTTCTTCGTTGTCGCTCACCCCGCTGCCAGCACTGCATTCTCTGCGCCGGGCCATCTCGCTAGATCCAGCACCCCTGTCCCCCACCCCAGCTGTTTCCTCCAGTTCCGGTCAACCCTTGAGGTTTTCCCTGGATTTGTGCCCATCCCTTATTTCTTTTCATTTCTGTTGAACTGCTGTCTGAAACATTAGAGTCCTTGGAGTCTGCCTCAGGGTATGTGAATACCTTACATAATGCCTTTGGGCATGAACCTGAGCCTTTCCGCGTACCTTTGCTCGCCACTCTTCACTGTAAGTTTATTTGCAGGAAGTAGGCATGCCGTCCTTATTTTCCACATGGGGAACACCAAGTGGACACTGTGGTGAAAACGCTGGCGGAGGAATAAAGCTTATGTCCTTGCACTTGCCCAACTATTCCAGAGTTATGGGTTCCCTCCCCCAGGTGGTGGGCATCCCGAAGCAGACAGCATGTCCTGCTCTTCTCTCTTCCTCGCCCGCCTTTCACCTTTGCTGGCACATAGTACTTAGTCACTTAGAAAATGTCAGTGGTGCTGAGCCAAAACATAACCTGCTGATTCTGTGCCCTTCTTTCACCCATCTGTAAAATTAGGAGTTAGTCTAACTAACTTCTTAAGTCCATTGCTCTGTGAAAGGAATACGTGTTTCCTTTATTTGCAAATGGGAAGCCATGTATTTTTTTCACAATAGATTATTCGTGTGTTGCCAGCCAGCTAGGTAATTCAGATGCTGAGCAGTCCCAGCTTGAGGAGAAAGAAAGGTAAATAGGTGGCTTGCTGTACTGTGCAGAACTAGACCATAGGGGTCTGTGGGGTCTGGTGGAGATCACTGTCTTCTCTGCTTGATAAGGTGAAAAGGAGGTGAGAGCTGTGTGTGTGTGTGTGTGTGTGTGTGTGTGTGTGTGTGTGTGTGTGTAGGGAGCAGCCTCTTTAGGGATAGTGACGTTTTAAGCTATGAGCCTTATAGTGCTTCCTAAGAAGCTTCCTAAGTGCTCTTATTACTCTTACAGTTCATGATGTCCTGTCACTGTGCAGTCATTGTCATTGTTGGTCTTGAAGGCACTCTGCACAGAGGAGCTTACTGAGAGCAAGTAACAGCTAACTTCAGTGTCTTACCCTGCTGCTCCTAGGAGTTAGGATTGATCTACTGGGCAACAGAGTTGCTGATGGAGCTGGACAAGCCTTGTGTGGCTTCATTGTTTGAAGAGAGTGATAAGCGTGATAAATAAAAGCTGAATTATTTTGTGTCCTCAGGCAACCCACTTAATCTGTCTGTTTAATCTGTAGAGTGAGTTATAATCTCTCAACAGTGTAGTGAGGCTGAATTAATGATTGATTGCCAAGTGCTTTACAAATAGAAAGTTCTGTGACTTGTTTGCAATATGACAGATAATCCAGAAGCCACAAGGAGTTGCCTCAAGTGATCTTAACAGTCTCTCAGAGTTGGCGAAGCAAAACTGTGCTGCTCTTAATCATTTTTCCTTAGCTTTGTTTTTTAGAAACTGAAATACTAATATATGAAAATTATAGTGAAATACCCTAAATAGATATACAGTGGCTACCAGTATTATGTATCAGTACCTTAATTCTACCTGGATTAAAATATATTTCTAACTAAAAATTTTATGGATCTTTTTTATTGTGCCCTTTGCTGGATTTGGTATTGTCAGCAGAAGAGAAGAGTGCTACTTTACAGATCTTTCAAGAAAACATTGGCCAGGTCATGGTGACAAGCCATGATTTTTTTACTTGCTGGTATGTCATGTCATATGTGCTTGTCTAGTTTTTGACATTATGTTTTAGTCTTATTCCATGCTGAGAGAGCCTTCCAGATGTTTAGGGAGCAAGTTTAGGGATGCAGACAGAGCAGAGCCTTGTATTTGGGCCTCAGATTTGGTGTTTCTGCCTTCCTTTCTGTATCTACTTCTGAGCCAAGTGATCATGTCTCTCCTACCCTAGAACCTCAACACAAACTTCTCTTTTTCAGGAATGTTTCCCTCTCCTCCTGACTTAGTTAGTCCTTATTGACCCTTGAGATCTCCACTCTCCTCAAACTTACTGAGGGAAGTTCCCAGCCAGGTGTCCTGCTTCCTGGTTGTAAAGGTTGAGTAATGTGTCATGCTTTTCCAGTATAGCACTATTTTTACTCTTGCATTTATTTGTATGATTTTTTGATTAATATCTCTCTCCCCTACTAAAATTTAAACCCTCTTGGACCAAGGCTGACTCTATCATTATTGTAACTTGTGTACTGGGATAGAGGTTGACTCAATAAATATTTGTGGAATGAGGAATGAATAACTCTCCAGTGCCAGTAATAGAAATTCAGAAATTTACTATTTCAGCTGCTGCTGTCCTGGTAATCTATAGCCTGGTTTTCTTTCCTTGTATCTTCTTCCCGCCTATAGAGTACAGTCATTCCATTGAGAGATGGAAATACAGGACGCTAAGACAACATGTAGCTGCCTTTAATTTGTAGATTTTGTGCCTTAGAAATAGTCACTGTCAGGCTTTGGTGGTTCCCAAGGCAGAACTATGGCTCTTGATCTTGTTTCTTGCCTTGCAGATCTCAGTGAGTTTGAAACCACTGTAGGGTTACCAGGGTTCTGCAAACTGCAGTGATGCAGAATGATTCAGAAGTGTCAGCACTCAGTTGTGTAGGACTGCCAACTGACCCTCTGTGTATTTCCACCTGACCCACAACTGGCTGATCGTGAACTTCTTTTCATAATTTCTTTTTAGTCATGCAGGTTAAGGCTTGCTGGAAGAGATACCAAGAAGTCCTTCCTTGAATACTTAAGGCTTCTTAACAGCTATTGGTAGGGTATGTACTCTGTTCTAAGTAGGGATTCCTGTTCCATAGAATGGACAAACTATTAGACCTGTACAGAATTGGCAAACTTTGATCACAGGACATCGCTGGAATGTGGGGATCTGGGAGTAGATGGCATTAAACAGGTACTCTATGCACACTACAGCGCTTGGAGACTTCATTATACCTTGGAGTTACTGGCTCGGAGAAAGCCCTTCAGCTGTGGTATCTAGGCAGCACTGAAGACTGTGAGAATTCTGCTAGGCCTTCTGAGTTGTCTGTAGGTAGCTCCTTATAGAGTAGGGTGCATCCCATAGATAGTATGGACTGGGAAAAGGCTAACAGATGTCTTTTTTGGGAGTCCTATTGTATGTTTATGGAGTCAGTTGAAGTCAGTAGTGTTTGAGAAACTTTTATGTGGTGTATATTCATATATATATATATATATATATATATATGATACAGGGTCTCACTGTGCAGTTCAGACTCATACTGATCCTCCTGTCTCAGCCTGCCCAGTGCTAGGATTACAAGTGTGTGCCACCACACCCGGTTTCAGGGCTGGCATGGCACACCCGGGTTCCAGGGCTGGCATAGCATGCAGTACAGGGGCTTAAACTTGGGTCCTTGGGCTTGCCAATCAGGCGCTTAGACTGTAGAGCTGTCTCCCCACCCCCTATGTGCTGTACCTTCTAAAGTCAGTCTGTGGCCTATATAAGTCATCTTGTCTCTTATTTGACAGGGAATAATCATGTTCAGCAAAAACAAACATGATTGCTGGTCATAGTGCACTAAAGGCAGCTATCTGACCTTTAATTGTGGTTTCAAAAGTGTATTTAAAGCTTTCATAGAACTGGGTGTGGTGGTACACACCTGTAATCCCAGCACTGGGGAGGCTGAGACAGAAGAATCCCTGTGAGTCCGAGCTGTGTAGTGAGACCCTGCATCGAAAGAAAGACAGAAAGAAAGAAAGAAAGAAAGAAAGAACATTCATTAAAATATTCATTCATGTGACTCTTCCAGGTTCCTACATGTGCCAAAATAAGTGCTGTTATAAGTACAAGAAATGAAATAGTGTTGCCCTCTCAGTGCTCAAGCCTGGGGGAGGGAGTAGACATGGAAAAAGAAATGAAACTGCATGAAGCATTACAGAGAGAGGAGCCATATGCCATGGGAGTACGAAGGGCAGAGCCACTCTAGAGCAAGCAGGAAAGGTTCCATATGGAAGTGACTTTTAAGCTGGCTTGTGAAGGCTCATGGTAGGGTTTTGTCAAACTAAAGGGCGGGAACGGTGTCTTAGCAGAGACAACATAAGCAAAGACATGCGATCTTGAGAGGGCCTGGTATATTTAGACAGTGGAGGGAAGGTCAGTGTGGTAGGAGTGCTGCAGGTAATGTGTCCTGTATTGTAAAAATACATAGTGGTGGTTACTCCCTTTACAGACTTTTAAAAAAGCAGGCTTCGAATCTGTGAGTACAAATGTCTTACTAGGACCATCCATGAACTAACTCCTCCTCACTTGCATGACTGTTTATCTGTTGTATCATATTAAGCCACCTATAGTCAGAAAATTATCTTGAGTTTACTGAGATTATTAGTAATAATTTGACTTATTAGATATTAGAGCAGTTTGAACATCTTAGAGTTTGTGACAGAGGGACTTTGTGATGTCCCTAAACTCACACAGACAGTAAGAAGTCATATCCGGATTCTAATCCAGACCAATCTGCTTCTGAAGCCTGTGTTCTTTTCTGAATACCAGGCCACCTCTGTGGTTTAGTGCCAGTCCTTCCGCTTAATGACAGAGTAGGTCTCATATACTAAGGAACCTTTTCTTTGTGAGTTATAGGTTATTAAGCAATG